GAGGCTGAGGCAAGAGAGTCAGGAATTCATGACCAGTAAGGGCTATTTGAGGCTCTCAAAAAATGTTAACAGTCTAGAGATGGTTCAGTGAGGAAAGGGACCGGATGCCAGGCCAGAGTCCACAGTGGAGAGAACCACCTCCTGCAGGCATGGCACACACAGCCCTGCACATGTGCTCACTAAATATATAAAAATGTACGTTGAAAGGCTGCTTTGGTTTTCACTGCTAAGATTAGATCCCAGAGTGAGAAAGGCCAGCCAGACCCCTTTCCCTTTCCCTTTGGTACTGTAGCAACCTGACACTTTTCCTATTTGTCAAACCGAAATAAGTGTGCCAATACTGAGGCAGGGGCAGGGGGCAACTTGCAGCCTTTGGGGTGTCAGCAGCACACTTTCAGGTGTCTTGTCAGATTGCTTTCCACGCCATGCTTAGCACTGCTTATTCTCTCCCTGACTTTGCTACTTAGGTATCTGGTCTGTTGCTTTTTTTTTTTTTTTTTTTTTTTTTTTAAGAAAGGGTCTCAAATAAATAAGTAATAATAAGGTGTGTCCCATAAAGGCCAGACTGGCCCAGAACTCCTGATCTCTGCCTACCTCTAACTCCCCAGTGACAGGGGAGGTGTGTAACATACTATGAGAGGAAAGAGAGGCTCTCAGGAGTAGCAGAATTGAGAGATTAATCATTTGGGCCTCCTCAGGAGACCGAGAGAAGACAGAATCCTCCGTGAGTATAACCCACAGCTGCAGCAGGCTATGGGAGTCTTCCCTGAATGTGAGCCTGCAGTGACAGACAGTGAGGACTACCCATGGGACTCCTGGACAGTAGGAACTCAGCTTGGTTGACATTGGGGGACCAGTTCTGCTCAGGTGGATTCCTTTAGAGACAGGTGCATCTTCTGAGGGGAACCTGGGAAAGCCTGTCAACTCAGGTACTTTCACTGAGCCTGCCATCTCAAGCTCTGAACAGCTGCTCTTCCGGGTTCTGTGGATCGGATAGCTCTCCTGGGTCATCACAGTCTCCACGGCACAGTGCCATCCTATAGCCTGTACTGTATTGTGCTTTCAGTGTAAGTCTATCAAAACCTCAAATACTGAGCAAGTGCCACGCTAATATGAGGACCTGAGTTCAAATCCCAAGAACCCTGTAAAGCCAGACAGTGGTGTTTGTAATGCCAGCACTGCCACAGGAAGATGGGAGGCAGAAGGAGGAATCCCAGAAGCTTGTGGGCCTGGTGGACGCAGGAGTTAACAAAGGAACATCTCAAACAAGGAGAAAATGAAGACTAATACCCAAGCCCTCCATACATGCAATGTGGTATATGTCTGCCTCCACCATCCACACATCACACACACACACACCAAGAAAAAAACTCCAATACTTCAATACTTTTCAATTTTTATTATTTATTGTGGGAGGGTTGAGACAAGGTCTCTATGTAACTTCAGTTGACTTCAAACTCACTATGTAGACTGGGCTGGCCTTGAACTCACAGAGATCAACCTGCCTCCTGGTGTTAGCATTAAAGTCATGCACCACCATGCTTGGCTATTATTATTATTATTATTATTAAACACAAAAGTCACATTTGCAATGTCATAGTGCTTAAGTCAAAAAACTCCAAGACACTAAAGTTAGTTCATAAACCTGGGACTCAAAACACAACCTAGGGCTGAGGAGGGTGAGAAGAGTGAGAGAAGTTCCTGCAGTCCACTGCCAGTCCCCTGATAGCTGCCAGGAAGCACGGGCCAGATGCTGGCTCCAGAGCTACTAGGCCTACAGCCTAGTTTACCCAGAAAACTTGGTCAACTGCTGACCTCATCAACCTACCCAGGCAGCCAGGCCAAGTTGCAGTGGGCCCACCATCCTTCCCAGACCCCTCCTGTTCTTCCTGAGTGAGCCCCAGGTGCAGTCTGTTGCCTCTCCACTCTCGCTCCTAGGCGATCCCTCCCGCCTCAGCCTCTTGGACAACCCTGTTAGGGAGGCGGGGCTCCACATATCCCATGCCTTCTCCTTGGGGCCTTTCCAGGACAATAGTCCCTCCTCTCACTTGAACAAGTCAAGTCCTGCTCTGTGACGAGTCTCCGTATCAGCCAAGCCTGAATTCTGGGTGACTGGTGAGCTGGGTCCCTGGGGTGGTTCAGTGTCCTCACCTGGTAGTAAGCCAACCTTCCCAAAGCACTTCAACACTACCTGGTGGCCCTAAACACATGTGAGCCAGTATAGCCCATCTATGTGCCCAAATTCTGTGACTTCTGTGCTGTAGATAAAATTGCAAACCATGGACTGAAAAGATATTTATCATGGGCTGGAGAGATAATTCAGTGGTTAAGAGCACTGGCCATTTTTCCAGAGCACCTGTAGGTTTGAGTATCTGCTGTCAGCCCTGGAACCACCCCATTGGAGTCTTCCAATGTTAAGTACAAGGACTGAGTCAAAGCAGTATGATGCCCCCCCAGGCCCCCCATGGGGCTGGACTTGAGGCAGAACAGAAAGGAGAAGGGGGCATGACAGGGAAAGGGGTCCCCTATCCCCAAATCTAGTCTGTGTATCTTATTGTCTTCGAGAGAAATCCAACCCTACTGACAGATGAGATTGCAGTGGAGACGTCCCTTGATCAACTCCTAGCTTACCTATGTGGTCTGTGAACTTTATCACATACCCCTTGTGGGGCTGTGGAATCCTGGGTGTTCAGCCACGCCCCCAGAGCCCAGAGACCGAACATACAGCCTCCATGAGGTCTCTGCCTCAAGATTTACGTATTACCTAAAAGCCCCGCCCCTCTCCCGCTTCCAATATAAGCAAACCCCTTCTGACATTTTTTGGGAGAGCTCATCACCATCCAAACCCACTGCCATGTCAATAAAT